AGGCGCTGTTGGAAGAGTAGGGAAGCCTGGGGCACGAGTTGGAAGAGGGCAGTAACCTCCCAGCCAAGAAGCCCAAGTGAGGACCGAGCAGCGAGAGTGTTGGGTTCTTGGGGCCCAGCGACACTCAGCTTGGAGTTGCTGCCTGTGTACCTCAGGTGAGGGAAGCAGCACTTTTTGAAGTCAACATGGATTGTTGGGGATTGTTCTCTAGGCCTGGAAAGTGGCTGGGGTCCAGCTGGTGGCAGACCTTTTGCAAAGCTCTATTGGCACTGATTGGGGTCGGTTTAGGGCTCCATGAGAAGGCACCTGGGCAGGTAGTGGGCTCCCTGTTCACGGTTGAAAAGTATATTAATGGGGGGGTCCCTGGTGGCGCAAGGGGTGAAGTTCAGCACTATGAAGCTACCTACAGCCACAGCAGCACACAAGGTGTGGCAGATCTTTCCTGCTCCCCTCAGTAATGTATCTCAGTGAATCCACCTGTTCTGCTCCCCACTCTGTCTCTGGTGAATTCTCTCACTCTCCCACACCTCTGCCTATACCCCATCTCTTGTATGCATACACAAATAAATCTTAAAAAAAAAAAAAGCAAGCATATTATTTTGGAATAGCCTGAATTGGGCCTCTCTTTTGGGGGTATGTACAGCATAGGCGGGATCTGGCTGCTGTGGTTGTTGGGTGAAGAGGACTCTGTAGGGCAGAAGAAGGAAGAGGGGTCCTGCTGATGCCCTGAGAGGACACATGCAATTCACCGTCAGAGGCCAGGTCCCCAGGGGCGTTCTGACTTGGCCTGGCAAATTGCATGTCACAGCACTTCTGTTTCTGCCCCTTTCTGCATCTTCTTCTTCTTATTATTGCATTCACAGTGAACTTGAGCAGTGCTCACCCATTTTGAAGACAGCAAAGGAGGGCATGGGATGGCCAGGTAGCTGGTCTGAGGAAAAAGCAGACCAGGATCTGAGAGGTGACCCCACTTTCTGCTGAGCATCAGTCGTGTCCATGGTTCTAGGGACATGCAAGGCCATGGATGAGACGGTCTTTCTAGGTGTTAGTCGCTGATGTTACTAAGGATATTACATCCAGTTATCCTGCTAACCTCCTCAACAGTTCTGCACAAAAGATATACTGAGCCCAAACTGCAAATAAGGAAACAAACACAGAGAAGTAAGGTACTGACCTAGAAGGGATGGAGGTGACAGTCAAAGGCAAGTCCACATCACCCCCAATTCATGCCCTGCCACCTCTTCATTGTGATGCACAGACCTGTCCTGGTCTAAGTGAGCCTGAGTGTGAGGGCCTGGGCACAAGGGTCCCTCACAGGAGCAGGGAAGTATCAGGAAGGAGCAGTGTGCTCGAGGGCCACCAGGGGGCAGTGTGACTGGGAAAGGGGCCTTGTGGACTGAGCCAAGATCACCCACCCACAGTCTTGTTACTGATGACAAGCCTGGAAAGGTTTGGGACAAGGATATAATAAGGACCCCCTGTGCCAAAGACCATTCTAGTGGAGGGGTGGAGGAAACCAGAACAGGGAGCAGGTATCAGAAGTCACCCTATTGCCCATGTTGAGAGCAGGAGGGTAGGGTGATGTGGGTCACTTTTACAACAGTAATAAAAGAAAAATGATGTGGTTTCTCAAGTCACATGTATTTTGTTTTATTTAATGCACAGGACTTAATACAGGTAGGCTGGTCTGTGGTGTGGAAATAACTCCATTTTATAGGGTGGTCTAACTACATCTTCATATCCACGTTTTATTTTATTATTTTTAAGATTATTTATGCATACAGAACTGGGGTATCGACCAGAGGTGCAGGGTTGGCGAGAGGATTCACTAGAGACAGAGTGGGGAGCAGAACAGGCCGATTGATGAATACACTGCTGAGGGGAGCAGTGGGTGGGTCAGGAGAGGTCTGCCACAGCTCCCTGGCTGGGGATCGAACCCATGTAGTGGCTGCGGCTAGCTTAGCAGTGCTATGCTTTAACCTGCTGTACCACCAGGAAGGGCCCATGTATCCATGTTTTAAAAAGAAAAAAAAAGGCAACCCTGTTCATACCTAGGATTTCACTTATAGTCACACAGCTGATAGTCACACATCTGATACTCAACAGAAAGTGGGGTGGCCTTTCAGATAATCCCTTAAGAGCAATGACCCAATGTGGGATTCTGATCGCTGTGGCTGCCTGTGTGCTTGGCGCTAGGCTACCTGCTGGCAGGAACCATCCAGCTGACTGACCTATGGATTTGCTGGCCACCCACCGATTATTACACACATTTTACAGATAAGGAAGCTGAAGCTCAGTGGAGTCGGGCAAGGTGCTGAGTCCTGCAGCGGCTGGAGCCAGGTTAAGTTGGCATCTATTGTGCTTGCACTAAGTTTTGGGATCAAACTTTTGGACCTAGAACTTGGCATGCCTGACTTCTCATGAAAAGTCTGCGTGGTATGTGAGTGCAAGAAATTGCTGGCAGATGCTGACAGGTTGGAGCCTCTAGGGAGTTCTGGTGGTTCACAGGACACACTACCTGGGAGGAATCCTGGAAGAATGACTGTCTTAGCTCTGCCATTTCAAACGCCTATGCGCTGAGAATGAAAGGGACGCATCCTCAGGTGAAGGTGGGGTGCGGGAACAGAGGACAAATTGGAAGTGCTGCGTCGCCCAATCCCCCTTCGGCTAACGAGAGTGAAGGTTTATGACCCATTTTGGCGGGTGAAGGGCTGCACACCAAGGACCGCTGGGTCTGAGCTGGCAGCTACAGGCTAGGTTAGATTCGGTTTAGTTCAGAGGGAGCCTGATGCCAGCAGTTGTGGGGTGGAGTGCGGGGGCCTGAAGTCAGTCACCCACAGAAAGCCCACATGAGATTCACAGTGCTGGCTGGAGTCCCAGTGTTAGAACCACAGGCTGCAGGCCCGACATGGTGGGTGACTCGGCTCTAGACAGACTCACCCTGGACCACAGCCCCTGAATGAGCAAGGAAGAGAGATGCAACCTGCGTCCTGCCCAGTTCAGCAACATGGCCACTAGCCACGCCCAGCCATTGAAACATTTTATTTAAGTAAAATAAATAGCTGCATTCTTCAATCTCACTGGCCATGTTTTAAGTGGCACAATAGCCAGATGTGGCTAGTGGGTGCCCAGCTGGACAGTGCATTTGTAGGATATTTGCATTATTGAAGCAAACTCTCCTTGAACGTAAGCCATTATGGCTATTTTTTATATTGATGACATGTTGCTCTCATTGAAAACACACTGACTTAAATAAGATAGGCGGCAGAGGGGTGTTTCCCTGCTGGCACAGAGGTTCAAGTCTCAGCGCTATAAAGTGATGCCTAGCCAGGGGGCTGCCCCACATGGCATGGCAGGCCTCTCCTGACCCGCCTGCTGCTCCCGTCAGCTGCTCCTGTCAGCAGTGTATTTCACTTGATCTGCCTGTTCTGCTCCTCACTGTCTCTGGGGAATCCTCTCCTTCCCTGCATCTCTGCCTGTACCCCAGTTCTTGCATGCATAATAAAAATTTTAAAAATTAAAAAAAATTCATTATATCATTCTTCATTTCTGTACAATGTGTGGTTCCCTGTGAAATTCCCTCCAACTCACCTGGGCGCCATCATCACAGTCCCTGGTGCGCTTCCCACCCTGTCCTGGTCCTTCGCCCTCCTCCTCCCCTACAGAATGTCTCTAGTCTATAGTTGCCTGATGATTTTGATTTTTACTTTATTATACTTTTTTTTTAATAAAAATAAATCTTAAAAAAGATACTACTCACAATCTTCCTTCTTTTGGTTTTTTCTTTTTTACTGTGGGTAACTGGAACTTGGAAATGACCGTAGGTGGCTCATAGTTCTCCTGGACAGTGCTTCTTGGGGATGGATATGTAACAGGGTGGTCCCTAGGAAAAAAAGGGGAAGTTCCAGGTTCCTTGCCCTACCCAGAAGTAGGGTGGAGCGGAGGAGAGAAAAAGAGGAGAGGAGAAGGAATCTAGAGAGAAGGCAGCAAGATGGAGAGCCAGAGGGAGCCCTGAGGAAGCCACGTGAAGCAGCAAGTGTGTGATGAAGAAACCGGGCTTGTTTCCTGGCCCTGAACTGGTTGAGGCAGATGTGGGTGAGAGACCTGTAGGGAGGTGACTATGGCCGTGTTTATATTGATTTTGATTTTGCTCTTTTGCTCCCAGATTTGTCTGGCCATTTCTGACCCTTTTCTATGGGTCCCGGCCAGAAGGTGCTTTAGTCTTGTGGCAGCTTTCAGGCCTTGCTTTGGGCCAACCCCTTTTGGGTTGACGTTTGCCCATGAAGGGATGGGTAACTTCAGGTGTTTGATTTAGAAAATATATTCTTAGTCTTCTGTGTTGTCTACTCACTGTATTAAAGTCCCTTTTCATTAAAGTTTTATATGTTTTGTCTTGATGCAACGGATGGCAGAACGCATTTAGAGCGGGAAGATTTGGGGCTTCAGGGGTGCCCCTCTTCCTGTCCTGTAACAGATACGGCACGTACCTCCATTTATTCTTCTTACACAGCATCTCGTGCAACATAGCAGTCAGTTTGATGATGGCTGTAAAACCCCTGCTTAACATGAACACAAACTTCTGAAAATGGCAACTAAAGTCAGAGAAGAATTCAGGTTCAAATCTCACTTCCTTATCTTTTCTGAGTGATCTTGGGCTAACTAACATGGGTGTGCCTTAGTTTTCTTATCTGTACTTATCTGAAAAAGTTCAACAAATGGGCTGTCTCATATTGTTTTCAGTGCTAGAGAGGAAAGTGCATGAGAGCGAGGGCCTGGCACCCAGTGAAGGCAGCTGTGGTGGTGGTTGTGATCTTTGTCATTAGGGTTTTTAGTGTGAAAGTGCAAGGGGTGATGGAGAGTTTCTGGCCTCACACCACTCCCTCCCCTGCCCCTGCCTCAGCATGCTTACAGATTACTGACCACCCCCAACCCCAGGCCTGCAGAGGCAGCCTTGCTTCCAGGCCTGGCCTCCACACAGCCCTTCAGGGCGCCTCAGGCACTCACCTGCTGGCAGCTGCTGGTCCAGGAGGCCCTGAGGGCACCCAGCTCTCCCAGCCCCAGGCCTGGTTCTCCAGCTGCGCTTCCAGTTCTTGGCTGACTCGCTCAAGGGCGTGCACTTTGGCTATGTATCCTACCAGGCAAGCCGTGAAGTCTGCACAGCATGGAGGGCTTTCTCCAAATCTGGAGTAGGTGTGGTGGCCAGGGCTGAGCCCCACCAGCCCTGCAGGAAGACACTGCTGCTGCCCAGGGCCTGGCGGGTCATATGGGTGCCCAGGCCACTTGCACACCTATCGGGTTCCATCCGTACATAGACCCTGGTCACTTGGTCAAGGCTGCCCAGGGCACTGGCCCTGCAGTCTGAGGGGCTATCCAGGGAGGATGGTGACCGTTCCCCTGAAGGACGCCCCGTGCTGCTGGAGGGACGTGTGGGAAGAGGCTCCAGTGGGCATGTCCACCACCACGCCTTGTGTTCGTCACCACTTCTTCTGCTGTGCCTTTTAGGTTTACACTCTGGCGGGCTGTGGTTTCCAGCGGCAGCATGACTGGTCACGGGAAACGTCCCTCCCTGGGGTTGTTTTGTCTTCTGTTTTCCAGGAGTTTGCATCACTCACCGAGATAAAAGAGAAATGGGCCCTGCCCAGGGCTATGTGCAGGGACTGGGGTCATGTGCTTGACCCCAGATTTTTCTGCTGACTGGGTCAGTGCAGACTGTGAATTTGTGTATTTCACTCCTGAAGAGAGGCAAGGCAGAGAGCAAACATTTCTATTTCACAGACAAGTAAACTGAGGGTCAGAGCTCAGGTCACATGTTTAGTAAGTGGCTAAGGCAGATTCAATTCAGGATAGATTTTAGGGTTCCTACAGCCTCCTTGTGCCATGTGATAACAGGGGTGGAAACAGATGTGAACTGGACATGTCAGGAGGCTGCTGCAGGGACTGGAGAGAGACAGCCTGTTGCAGTCCCTTCCCTGCTCTCTCCCCTTGAACATGCTGTGCCCTTGACTGAACATGTCACTGCATTTCTCTGGACCTCACTGTCCATGTGCTGACCTGGCCTCCAAGTCTGTGATGCCTGGACAAGGAACCTTAGGCAAATTCAGGTCCCACAGTGGAACAGCTAATATGCTCTAGCTGTTCTTAATACCCGTTTCTCCATTTGCCAGGAAACTAATACAAACAGAGGTTTCCCAGTAAGGTCTCCTAGGGAGCTCAGGGTTAGGGTTCAACGAAGCCCCCTGGGTTTTAGCTCCTGCGCTCAGCATCCATCACAGCATGTGGTCATGGCCACAGTCACATCTCCAGGCCCAGAAATGACCTTCCAGCTCAGGGGGTGACACAATGCACCTACAAACCTCAGCACTCAAGTTCACCCAGAGAAACCAAATAGCTAAAACCCAGAGCTGAGTTTTTAATCTCTATTCCTAAAAGTGGGAATATACCTTGTGTAGGAAAGGGAGTCAACTTCCACTATGTTGTTTTGATGAGTTTTCCCTTCACCCTTAGAAGCAGGTACAGGGTTGGTGGGAACTGCCTGAGGGCGACACACTGCACAATTACAGCAGTTTCACCTCGCCTCCCTTTGTATGCTAAGGGCTCAGGGATCCGCAGGCGTTGACCTGGGCCCCAAGAAAGGAGCAGAACTGGGGTAAAAAGGCCTCTTTGACTCCTAATCCAGTGACTTATCCAGGGCCGTCTCTGTCTCTCATCAGAGAGGGGGTACCTGCCTGAGTCCACAGGTAGTTACAAGCTGGGGGTGATTATTTAACCATTCGATGTGTCTTTCTTGCACATAGGACACCACAGGACGCTCTTTCTTCTCCCCCTTTACTTTGTCTCTTTGAGGTGACATGGAAGATACGTTATAAAAGTCAAGGTAGGTAGGTTACATGATTGACGGATTAAAGAATCATCCATCAAGTAAAGGCTGGCGGATGCCTTATTTGGATGTGGCATTTTTCCTGTAATGCCACTTCTGGTGCTTGTTGCAGGGTCCACTGCACTCAGGAGACTGTTATGCTCTAACATCTTAATCCAGGCGATGCTGACTGGGTGCCATGGGAAGGGAGGAATTCCAGACTAGTCCAAGGCTTCACGAAGGGTTCAAGCAACTAAGTTGCAGTGTTATAACTAGACGCTGTTATTATTTTCTCTAGAATGATAACACTCAGTGGCCAGGTTAAGTGAAGATTTCTCAGTCTTAAATATATCTACAAGAAAGTCCAGACTCCAGTAGAAGGGAACAGGGGATGTACTCCAGTTGATACAAATGCTTCCAAAGACCTGAAGAGAGAATTCTTTAGGAGGATTATTAAAGGTGTTCTCAAGGCTTTGTTCTATCAAATGATAAACTCTTAATCCTATCAGCTCATCATGGTCACAAAACCCAACTTACTGTTCAAATAGATTAAGAAGCACGGATTGACATACATGGTGGTGATACTTAAAGAAGACAAAAGTCATTTGAAAATGAAAAGAATGCAAAATGTATTAGCAACTTAATCCTCTGGCTAATAAAATAAGTTTATTTATATATACACGATAGCTGAATTCTGTGGATAAGGAAAAATAAGTCATACATCCACATACGTATATATAACATATGTATCTTTGACTACATATATTATATATAAGTTTTACTTTACAAACAGATCTCTTTCTGTATATACACACACACATTTATATATTAAATACAATAGCTGACAGAAATATTATGGTAAGGTTAAAAGCCAGACAGCAGCACACCAGAAAGCGAATCTCAGAGCAACAATTAACCTGCTTCTTTTTGGGTTAAAGAGTCTTTGAAAGAGAGACAATCAGGAAACGCATACTAAGTAGGTTCATACAACATGGAGAACACACATTTTTGAAGGCCATCTTTTTTTAAAAGAAAATGCAGGAAGAAAGGAAAAAAGGTCATGATCGAAAGACTACAGCAACAACACGAACATATGAACCAACATTCAATTTCAACTCTCGATCTGACTATAAGAACATCTATATTCAAAATATACTATCAAACTATTTCTTTTAGAGAAAGGAAATGCCAAAGCAGTTATCTTCTCTCCCAGCCACTATCTATTAGGAAAAAAAAAATAGAGAACAGCCATTGCTGGGAGTCCCTGCTGGTCTCTGAGGGTTTGACACCCCAGGGCATGCTGGATGCAGCAGTGAGCAGGGGCTGGGGGGCAGAGGACCCCACCAATGGAGGGAGCAATGCAGGGGAGGTAAGGAATCGAGGGCTGGGTGGCAAGTTCACCTGCTGACCCCCAGGCAGTCTGCCGCCCAGAGGAGGGGCATCAAGACAACTTCTCCAGTGGCCCTTCCCTCAATCTGGTTGTCTCAAGATGGCAGGAAAAGGACAGCCCCACACTCATGGCTTCTTACACATGTTCCTCAGGGGCTCAATGCAATGGCCTTTTGAGAACACAAACCTGAACCCCAATAAACACTGGATCTTTTCAGGACAAACATTCTAAAGCCCCAGGGCTGGGGTCAGCGTCTAAATTCTCTCCAGAGAAAGGCACGGCGTGTTGATGCAGACGTGGTGGAGAGGATGCAGGAATGCGGAGAGGACGCAGGAACGTGCTCCAGACGTAGCCTTTGTTCGGCCAGGGAAAGGCCGTCTTGTTCGCACAGTGAAAGCTTTCCGCCAGTGAGGTTAGGGGCACGGGGCCCTCGATGCTTGATGTCCTCTACGGGTTCCTGAGGCAGCAAGCGCCTGCCTGTGTCCATAACTTGATGACACGGACAGCTGATGGTGCCAGGTCCCAGGTACACGTCCTCGGGGTGGCGAGGGCTCCCTCTCTGCTGCCGACACAGGTCCACTGCTCCTTTCACTGGTGTCACAGGCCAGGAGCAGGTGAGGTCACAGGATCAAGAGGAACCAGCTTAAGAAGCCGCGAAGGTGCACGTCTGCAGGTCCGTCTCTTCCCTCACCAGCCCGGGCTGCTGGGGCCTCCAGGTGCTCACGGGCAGTTAGTAAGAGAAGCAATCAATGCAACTGCTTTGCTTAGAAATATCTTTATTTTATAAAGCCACGATCGTTCTGTAAAGTTTTTTTAAACCACACTTATAAAAAAGATGTTGACAATTCTTAGGGGAAAAAAAAAAGCAGAAAATGTGTCTCATTAAGTCAGGGTTACACAAAGATTATATTTATAATATATATTTGTATAGTTATAATTTAGAGATGAAAAGTAGAGACCCACAAGGCGAGGGCTGCAGTTAGATCTCCGACACTTGGTCATTTCCCACAAACAGTGTTTCTTGGCAGAAGGGGTTAACGAGGACCATCCCAGTGTCTCTGTAATCGCCATTGGCTGGGGAGCGGGGCTCTGAGAGCTGGTCCTGGGGAGAAAGGGGGACATGGGTGAGCAGGGGAGGGCTCCACTCAAGGACAAGGGCTGTTCCTGGGGTTCACTCCTGCGAACAACATTTTTTTTTAAGGTTTATTTATTTATGCTTTACAGAACTGGGATAAAGAACTGGGCCAGAGGTGTGGTGAGTGAAAGGATTCACCAGAGACAGAGCGGGGAGCAGAACAGGCAGATCTACGAAGTACACTGCTGAGGGGAGCAGCCGGCAGGTCAGGAGAGGTCTGCCGCCATGTGGGTCAGCTCCCTGGCCAGGATCAAACTCGTGCTGCAGTGGCTTCAGAGAGCTTCATAATTCAGTGCTTGAACCTGTTGCGCCACTAGGGAGAGACCTTAGTCAACATTTTTAACCATCGTCACTGCCAGTGCTGATGTGTGTGGCCTTTTCTGCTCTTCTTTTAGGAACTTAAGCAGTTTCTGAAAAGATTCCTGCTTCCAGAACCATCCCACACCCGATTGTCAGAGATGGTGTTTCCTTGTCCATGTCTGAGGGGTTCACCACACTCAATGCCCCTGCATGCGGCCCAGCACGTTGTGGACAGAGGCGCCACACACCTTCCTGCCTGTGCCTCTCTTGCAGGCCTCTGGGGCAGTCTGCTGCTTTCCTCTGATCTCCTCCCTCACCTGCTTCCCACCTGTCAGGAGCTCGAGGGCTAATACCTCCCTTCTGACCTGCCCAGAGCCCAGGTGGAATTACTGTCCCATTTCTTCTAGCACCAGGTGCTGAGTAAGAAGTTGAGTCTGTGCATAAGTCCCAGGAGTGGAAAAGCCTAGAAATAGGCAATCCACAGCTCAGGCCAGCTGACTGGCTTAGGCTATTTCGAGGACACAGATCACTAAATGTCTGTATTCAGACTTAGGCCTAGTTACTAATTTAGCAGGGGTGGGGGGTGGGGGGGAGGTCACAACTTGTTCCAGTTCTAAACAACTAATGAGCAGAACCTGCTGCCCACTTCAGGGCTAACTCAGCAAAAGGCCCAAGTAGATCGGGCTGAAACCAGAAGTGCTTAGAGATGCTCATTTTCAGAAACCACAAGTAATTCCTTAAAGTTTATTTTTAAATAAACCACATACAAAATATACGGTTTTTTTTTTATAAGTACCCACTGCTGTAAAGATAATAAGGAGAGAAAGGAAGAAAGCTATTGACAAAATATCCTTTCAGAAGACAAAAAATTCTTTCGAGGCCAGAGGGAGTGTGGGTGGGGCTTGACACCAGCTTCTAAAGAAGGAAAACAGGGCAGTGTGTCCACGAGGGGTCAGAAATCCTTCCCCTGGCTTTTGGGTTGAGCTGTGGGAAATTTTGGAGGCTGAGATCTGGCTTGTTTTATAGAGGTCATAAACCAAGTGTTCAGTAGGGGTGAAATGCATTAAATACAGAATTATTTAGGAAATGACTGAGGTAAGAAAGACAGAAGAAAAGAGGTGGTGGTGGTGGTGGGGGGGCAGTAAGGAGAGGAGATCCTGAGAGGAGGGAGAGGGAAAAAGAGGAGGAAACACAAAGCTGTTTCCAAATTCCTTTAGGCTCACAGTTTGTCTGTGAGGCCTAGATCTGTGTTTTGCTGCTTTCATCAACCTTTGATGGGGACCCACCCACCCACCCATCCATCCATCTACCCACCCATCTTTCCCTTCCAATCCATTGATGGCTCATGTAGTCAGGGCTGCACTAGGCCATCAGTACAAGCTTCCATAGACTAGACCAGCCAAGTCTCCACACCTTCAGTGACCCTTCCCTGCCCATGACTGACATACACACTCCTATTCAAGGCTGTACCTAATGGATCTCCCTTCCTGCCTCAGCCTGCCTGCTGCTCTGCCCTGTGGGACCAGAAAGAATACAGGTTCTGTGGTCAGAAGAACCTGGATTCAAAGGTATCTTGGGCAAATTCTTGACCCAGGTATCTTTTCTCAGGTGACAGGTCATATCCAGGATGAACCCTCCCTTCACTCAGGCTAATTTCTTTGCTGGGAGACCTGTTGAAATATATCTATCCTTTCTAGCACCTCCATTGTGAAGGCTTTCCTTTCCTTGGTTTCCACTCATCTTATATCTCCTCTGGAGTGATGCTTGGGGTCTGTACCTTGAACACATCTCAGAATCTGGGCCCCCTGAAAGCAAGCGCTCACTTTCACACCCCCTGCCCCCTGAAGATGCCTGACAAAAGACAAGTGTTCAACAAATATTTGATAATTTGTTTCAGTCCTTACATGTCAAGAACAGTGCTTCCAAGCACCAGCATGTGTGGGGAGCCCCTGTGGAGGCCTGCTCACACCCCTGACTCAGTAGGGCTGGGCCTCCCCATGTGCTACTGGTGCCGGTCTGTGGACTATGAGGAAAGAGCTAAGGAATCATCAGGTTCCCTGTGGTTCCATTGGCGCCTATGCTATTCCCTGGGGGGGGGGGGTAGGGGCAGCACTTCCAGGGGGACCCCTTGGCGTGGGGCTCATTACCTCAGAGGTTTCAAGGGACTGGATCTCCCTTGGTAACTCCACAGCGTGCCGGTTGAAGTAGTCCATGGTGATGGCGTTGTTCCAGTAGCTCAGGTTGTTCTCTGGGTTGGCCGTCTTCTTCTTTCTCCTCAGGCAGCACACAGTCAGCAAGACAGCTGCAGGGAGAATCCAAGTCAGAGAAGGGGAGGGACGGCAAGGTGGAGCCAGCATATCCAGGTGACAGATGGCAGTCTGAGTGGGCTATGGCAGTCATACTTTTGGCTATTCACCCATCCATCCAACCATCCACCATCCACCCATCATCTATTTGTCCATCCATCCAACCAACCAATCAGCTAGTATCTATACCCTGAAAACAGACTGTGGTTACCACAGAGGGATGGAGCAGAGAGGGAACAGCTAGAGGGGGCTGTTTGGTCAGTTTTTATACATTTAATGGCAGGGTGAGGTAAGATATACAGTTGCTGAGAAACTATACACCTGAGCCCTATAAGCTAATGTTACCTCAATAAAAATAACACAAGACACCCAAATATCTATATATGTTGAATGCTTCTTTTATGCCAGGTGTTGGGGAGATGACAGGAAGTGAAAAAAAGGGTGAGGAAGCCCTGATTTATGGAGCTTTCTCTCTGTGTAAAGGTGGGCGCAGAGGTGGCAGAAAATATGTAAATAAGTAAGGAACAAAATGAATAAATACAGAGAATCCATCAGCAGGAATAGTTTCAAGAAAATAAGGCAGGATGAAGAGAGACAGTGGGGGGAGGGAGTAGAGAGTATAGACTCATCCTCAGATTCTAGCGCTGAGTCTAGAATGTCTTAGAAGGTGGGGCAGGAGTCAGCAGAAGTAGGAGAGAGAAACAGTGAGAGAGAACAGCACAGGCAAAGGGCCTGGGTGGGGACAGTGTGATGAGTGAGAAGACAAAAAAGCAACACGGCTGGAGAGCAGTGAGTGTGGGGCCTGGGGCAGATGAGGCCAGAGGGCTGTGCAGAGGCCGCATCCACAGGGCTCAGGGGCAAGAGACCGAGGTGTGGCCAGAGTATCTGTGGATCCGCAGAGCCGTTCCTTGCATTTTTTCCAAGAAAAGGCCCGTGTGTTCAGAGCTGCCCTCCTGTGCTGGTGAGGAGAGTTCTTAGAGGGAATACAACACAAGGTGGGACAACCCAGACAGCCTCAGCCCATGACGCCCACAGATGCTCTGGATGGCAGAGGCTCACGGAGCAAAATCCCTGGGCAGGGGTTTGGACCCCAAGAAAACAGCTGCGTTGACATCATCATTTAGAAAAAAGAAGCTGCTAACAGTTACATAGCTTGGCAGGGTTTCCAGCACTTCAGAAGTATTAATTCAGTTAATCTTCCACTTAACCCCACGAGGTCAGTGCTATTTTAGGGTCCCCATTTTATAGGCAGGAAGACAGAGGTGATGCCACTTGCACAAATGCAAACCAGATACCTGGACTCCAAATTGTGTTTGGGCCTTGCTGATAAACCAGATGGGAACAGATGGCTTGGGCATGCAAACAGGAGAGGCGTCTGAGGTGAGAAAGGTGGGTGACCTCTTTTCTGTGTAAGGGGTGAAGCCCGTAAGTGAAGAGTGAGTATCTCTGCCCAGGTTTGCCATTAGCCTAGCCAGTGAGGTGGCTGAAACTCTAGCTTCCTCTGTGCTGGGAGTAGGGGCTGGAGCTGAGCTGTTCACAGACGCTGCAGTAAGGTGGTCATGGCCACCAGGGGGCAGTGGAGGGCCGCCCTGTCCTCAGCAGCCAGAGGGTTTGGCCAGCATTTGGGGTCTGTGGAAGCCCAGGTGTGGAGAGAGTGTAGGAGCAGGCTCTCCCACAGGCTGAGATCTTAGGGCCCTGCAGGGTGAGTTCCGCCTCTCTTTCCAGCAGCTGGCCTTACTGGCAGCTCAACCTAAAAAGGTCTCTGGACAAGATGGAGAAGAAAGGGCAGTTTCTACTCTATTCAATGTGTTTTCATCAAAAAGACTTCTAACTTGCTATCATTCTTCCAGATTCCCTTAACAAGTTTTAAAAATATACAGATTTCTGAGAGTTTTAGCTACAGGGGCTTTTAGACTGGCAGGCATAGATTTTTCTGAGTGTAGGTCGCCTTCCTTATCCACGCCCTTCCTTCCTGAATGGCTGAAGGAAGAAAGGAGGTGAGGAAGGGGGTTGGGGGCCCCTAGCCTGAAAATCTGCTAATTTAGGGCACCTCCTTATTCTACGAATGAGAAAGAATCCTGGTCTGAAGAATACTGACTTGCCCCAGGTCTCTGCTCTCTTTTTCTGATGTTTTCACCCTTTACTTTCACCACTTTTCACTGGAACTGCAGTGGTGAGTTTAGGGGGAAACAGAGGCCGTGAGGGAGGGCCAGGCTGCATTCACAGTGCTGCTAACTGGGGCGAGCACAGGCTGCAGAGATCAGGGACTCTGCTCCCTCTCGGCCGGCCCAGCTGCCCTGGCTCAGAGGCCTGCCTGCAGGGAGGGCGGGCGAGGTTGTGGGCTGGTCTGGGTTGGGGCTGGGAGTTCTGTTACTAGCTCTCCCCTCACATTTGGCCAGCGCCTCTCAAGTGTCATTTCACTTTCACACTAGAAGCCTGCCTGGTTAGAGAATAGGGCCTCAGAGTGTGAAACACCTGGCTTGGAGTCCTGCACGCACTAGGCACTTAAAACACCCACTAATTACTGTGGAACTCAGGGTTGGAGGAGGAACTAAAAGGAACTTGAATGCGAAGTGCCAAGGACACGACCTGACACAAAATAGGTGCTTAGTTAATGGGTGTTTTCTCCTTGTCCTCTCAGTATCTTCCACAAAGTGAGCTCTAGAAAGAAAATCTGCTGCATGACGGTCAGTGGCTCAAGGCCAAGGTTCAGTCTGTGGCATAGAAGGTTTCATTATTTTGGTGATGTGACCTTTAAGCCAAGAGGAAAAGCACAATTAATATTTTTACATATTCAGACTTGGCTCTTGCCAGAACTGATCTATGGGCTTTACAGTTTGATTTAAGCCAAAAATAACTGTCTGAGGAAGGTACTGATACTTTTCTCACTGAGACAAGGGAAAGATGAAACATGTGAAAATGAAAAAAAAAAATTGCTCCTATCACTCAGCTAACTCCTGAAACTGAACCCAGGTTTCTTGTGACCTTCAGACTTGATGCTCATCATCCTATATTGTCACTAGCATGGGGGGAACACAGGCAGCACTCTGTAACAGGCCAGGCAGCACATGTAAACTGCACAGTTTTGTACAGTTTGCAACAACCCCTTTTTTGAAAAAAAAAAAAAGATTTATGTACACAAGAACTGGGGCACAGGCCAGAAGTGCAAAGGTGTGAGAGGACTCACCAGAGACAGAGTGGGGAAAAGAATAGGTGGATTGACTGAAAAACACTGCTGAGGGGAGCAGTGGGCAAGAAAGATGTCTGCTGACCATATGTGGATCACCTCCTTGGCTGAATATTGAACTCAGGCTGCAGTGGCTGCGGACAGCTTCATAGTGCTCTCTCTGCTTTAACCACTTGTGCCACCAGGGAGGGCTACACCTCCTTTCTTGATTTAAATGAAACTTCTGTTGCTGTCTTTCCAAAGATAACAGCAGTCAAGACTCTAGAGAGCAATGGGATCCCCATTTCCTCAAGTTTCAATACCAACGTGAATTAAACAAGCTCTGCCAATTCTCAGAAATGTCAGTGGGGAATCATCCATGGCCTGTCAGAAATGTGACAGGAAGCAGGAAGGTCACTGACTTGGCGTCCTGGGCACTACGTTGACATTTTTGGGAGGGGTATGACTTCAGGGTTGCTATCAGCAGTGTGATGGGAAATGGAGATGAAATTCCCACAAGCCGCGGGGGAACGAACCTTTCAAACACCTGCAGGAAGTGCTCTCTCTGTGGCCTGTTTGAGAATGCACAGAAAATCCTAGCAATGATAAGAGGGATAATAACCATTAAATAGCCACGGCTGTTCATCGCCCTTCCTGAAGGCTGACACCGTGACGGGACTTCGTGTGAATCTCCTCTGATTTCCGCAACGTGCGGGGGTGCAGTTGCCACGAGAAGGCCGGCTCAGGCCTGCAGCCGCAGGGGGCTGACGCTGGGGCAGCCCCAGCTGAGGTCCCTGTGGGCCTGCTTCTGGATCCCCTAGCACGCGTGTTGAGACCAGGCTTCCTGGGCAGGCCCCTGCCAGGGCTGACTGTGCACGGGGACTGGGGGGCCTGTCCCTGCAGGGCAGGGGACTCCTAGCAGCCTGGGAGAAACTTCCTAAGACAGCACCGGAGCCCAACGCTCTTCCTATCCAGTCCTCCTCCTTTTGCCTCCCCCTTGACAGGTGTCAGCCCTGGAGTGCAGTCTCAGGCACTTTCTGCCTGCTCTGACTCCTGCTATTGTACCTCACAGGTGTTTCCCCAGTAAATCCTCGTCTGCTTAATCCCATCACAATATCTACCTCCGAAGGCCTGTTTATATTCAGAGCATGATATAAACATGGGCTGTAGTCCCATTTTTTAGAAGTGAGAAACCATCAGGTCGATGACTGATTAGTCCAGTCTGGCAGGTGATAAGTGGGGGAGCTGAGCTGTGTCTAGGTGCTGACGCCACAAGACAAGTCTCCACCACACCAGACCCCTGCTCTGGGAATGCAGTGACTCTTGCAGGCTTAAAGTTAGCAAAGTGAGTGGGGGTGGGGAGCTCTCACATATTTCACTTTGTAGAGACCAGAGACCCTCGAGAAAAAGACTGGTCCACTGGTGCCAGCAAGGGGTGGGGAGGGCTGTGGATAATCATCTCCCTCCTTTAGAGACTAGGGGAGCAGGCGGGCACAGCCTGGGAAAATCAGATTTGGGGTCTTCCTATGCAACTCATAGTGCTGGCAGGTGGGAATATACCTGACGAGAACCACGGTTGGGGGAGGGGCTGCTGGGAGCGCCGGCTGAGAAGCAAGAAGAGCTGTGAGCATGTGGGCATGACTCCAGGTTGCGTGAATAGAATGTGGGCATGAAGCCATGGGCATGACTCCAGGTTGCGTGAAGAGGTGCCATTACGGGGGCAACCCTGCCTCGCCTGAAGGCTGCTTCCCACCCAATGGGTTCAGAAAACCCGAGGAGTCAAAATCACTGGTCACAGTTGTGTTCCAACCGCTTCTATTCTTTTCAGTGGAAAGAGGAAGTTTGAGCCAGATTTTCTTACATAGTAACCGTGAAGTCATTTGGGGCCTGATTTGACTAACACTCGGAGATCATGGAGCACAAAGACACGTTACCCCTTTGGATGCTGCACTGATAGCCCCTTGGCAGCTACCATATGCGTGGAAGGCAGCAGGCTGCTCAGAGGCAAGGGGCGCACAGACCCTCATGTATGCAGGTTGGCATGAGATGCCACTCGGCTCTGGCCAGGTTTGACTTGGATAGGTGATGAGAAACACCTGCAGCTGGCCTTGCTTCCTGTTCTCATCCTCCATGAAGCCCTGTCTTTTTCTGGGGAGCCTGTACAGGCCAGGGATCCTGGCCTCCAGTGAAAGTCCAGAGGCTGACGGAAATGAAGGAGCCATTCAGTGCTGGGTGCAGAGGCCTCTGGCAGAAGGTGGTGGATTCCCCGCATCCTGCAGGTGGCAGGAGAGACCAGCTCAGAGCCAAGCGTTCCCTTGCCCCAGCCTAAGTGGCTGGTTCTAACCAATTGCAGGCCTCAGGATATCTGAATATGTGCTTCCACCTGGCCAGGCTCAGGAGTCAAAGCTTTTCTCAGCCTTCACACACTGCATCCTTCCAGGTTGAGCCTCCAGGCTCAGGATCTGGAAGGGCAGGCGCGCTGATTACATCCCTTCGTGGGCAGCCCTGAGGTTTGCTATGGTCACTCTTTGCTTCCACCAGAAGCAGGGGACTCACCCATCCACCCAGCTGCCCCAGCCAGCTGAGGTAATAGCAAAAGCAGAGGCAGGACGAGGTGGGCCTGGGAAGTCAGGATGAGGAAGGCAGAACACAGAACAGAACAGAAGCCTTGTACTGACCGACGGCCTGACACGGCGGCAAACTGACAGAGGACACGCGTCTGTCTGTGAGGGTGGCAGCGTGAGGGTTAGGATAAACTGAGCCACGGGGAAGGTCCCATCCTAGACCTGAAAGAGGTCTCCTAGGCTGGTGAGTAGAGTGGGCTTGATAACAGCTCAGGTAGTTACTCATCTTGGGTTTCAAAGAGCGCAGCGCTATGAAGCGGGACCGATATTCTCCCATGTTAATGCTTGGCTCCTGTGGGTGCACTCGTCGTGCCTCAGAGCCACACATGGCTGCTGTGGCCCCACAGGAGTCAGGGCCATGATGAGGACAGAGCTGCCTGTGGAGGCAGAAACCGTGGTGAGTGAGGCTTAGGGTCCCCTTACGCAGGTGGAAATGCAAGACAGATGCGGTGGTGGTGGTGGTGGTGGGGTGGGGCCTGTACTTCCAAAGGGCTGCGTGAGACCACTTGGAGCAAAGGTTCCTATCTTCCTGCACAAGATAGCATGTACTAGCCTGAGCGCCTGCAGGCTCCTATCAGAGCCAGAAGCTTCCTGAGGGGCAGTTCCAGCTGTGTCTGCTTCTGTCTTGGCTGACATGATGCATGGCTTATGCAGTCCATTGATTTTCCTGCTTTGCAGTTAAGATCAGATCTAATCTCAAACTCATACACTGCAAACGGGCTGGCTCAGGACTTTTAGGGGTGCAAATGTAGGTGTGTGTGAAGACCAGGTCTCACTGGGGAGAGGGCTCTGGGAGCTGGTGGGGAGCTGCGTCACATGTCTCTGGCTCCCTAGTGCCTGCACAGTGCCTGGCAGATGATGCTACTTGGGCAACATTGTGTTGAACCTGACAGTTTCTACTAGATCTGGGCTGCCTCATAGGTGCCTGGGACCCTGGGTTAGTAGCCTTACCTGGTGACTCACTGCTTGCAGGTATGTTGTATTCCTCAGGCAGTATTTGTTTGTTTTCCTTTTATTTTTCTTGCTAATCTGCTTTAAGGACTGTTAGATAAAAAATAACTTGGAGCTCACTTTGTAAACTAAAGTCTCTGTAGATGTAAAGAATGGGAAATGGATGAATTGTCCTTAATGTGGTTATTTTCCAAATGTGACCATTACTGACGATGTATTGATTAACACTGCTATCTTTTCTAAAGCAGAAGAGCTTCAGAAGTGGGAAATCAGTTTCACACATGTGTGTATGTTCCCAGAAGAGAAAGTAACTGCTTAATGAAAGCATGAAATATGCAACCTGCAAACATTTTCATTTTCCTAAATTGGGTTCTTGAGCAGAAGTAGGCCACCCAGCCCTGATGTGGAAGTTTGCTTTGCTTATCAATTTGAAGTAGACAGAAAGTCAGAAGAGGTGGCTCCTGGAAAGAATTCAGGTTATAGAGTTCCTGCTGGAGATGATGCAGAGCAGAAATCCTGCTCATGTTGGAGGCATCCTCCCCTGCACTGGTGTTAAAGTGGCCCATGGGATTAGGGAAAGCTAGGAGAAGGTTCTAGAGAGAGTGTCTGAGGCTTCATTCCTCTTGAGGTCAAGGAGAGCCCACTGAGGACACCATGATGTGAAAGGCAGGACACCAACAGCTGGCTAGTGCTGGCTGCCCTTGTGCCACCAGAGTCCTGAACAAAGGCACTGCCATCCCTTCTCCTCTGACAGGGCCTGGCAGGGGTGCAGTGCTGCAACCTCTTCTGGGGGTGCAGCCCCATGAGGAGAGCTAGTGGGAGGGGCAGAGGCTGGGAGAAGTAAAGAAGCAGGGAGGAGCGATGAAAGAGAAGACTGTCACTGAGAGTCATTTCAAATCTCAAGGGGTTGGTATAGGTTCAGCAGGCATGGCGGCTAGGCCAAAGAGTGGAAATTGAAAGGGGGGAAATTTCAGGTCTCCAAGGGGAACCACCTGAGGGTTAAGGAGAATGGACTTCCAAGGATGCGGAGCAGAGGGTAGCTTCTCGCGTGGAAGGGTTCACGGGGAGGCTGAAAGACAACTATTTGGGGTAAGTGGGGCTGAGCACAGAGAAGACACCTATGATGTCATCAGAGAAACCAAAAGTCTAGGATCAAGTCAATGGGGCAGATGTGACGTAAGCTCTAAGTTCCTGAGCCACTGGGTCATGTTCCTTTTGGAGACGCTGGAGAAAGGAGGGCCAGGCAGGAGCAGGAGAGGCCACTGGCCTGGGGACAGCCCTTCTCTACTGGTGCTAGTGAAGCAAAACAACAAGGAGGGCTGCAGTGGACCCGGCAAGCAACAGAGCTGGGCAGCAGGGTATGAACAATCAAATTCGCGTGTAACCTCCATGTTGCAATTTAGTAAAAAGTGTATTTCTGTCAAGCGGACAGAATTTCTAATGAAGTCGGTGGTGGGGGAGAAACCTTGAGGGATGAAGGAAAACTATAAGGAAGACAGAAAAGGAGTAGGACAGGAAGGAAGAGTGGTTTGACTACCAGCAGACCATCATTTGGAAGCAACACTTTCAGCTATGGTGTCTGTGCCCAGCCACTGCAGGCCTCGGCAGGCCGCCCCCAGGGGCGTGCAGGGCAGTATACTGACAAGAGCATGACGACTGGCGGCTTCTCCCCAGCTCCTGGGAGGGGTGCTGGTCTGCTCGGTGGGCATCTGAGCCACTGTCTGGCAGAGCTGAATGGGGGTAGGGCTAGCACAAGCTTCTTGTCCTGCTACCCGAGCACAGAGATTCCTGAGATTCTGGAAGTTTTGCAGCCCACTTGGTGAGAACTGGCCACCAACTGCAAATGCATTCTTGGGACAGGCAAGGTTGTGAGGGGGAAGGGGAGGAGGAGTGGAGAGACGAGAGGCACTTACAGCAGGAGGAGATGGGCACACTGATGGCCAGAATCACCCAGACGATGTCCATCTTGCTCAGGCAGATGGTGGCTCTGTGTTGGGGTTTGTCCCCTTCAGCCACGTGGGAGATGTTCCCTGCGGTTCCGGGCTTCCAGGTCGCTGCAGGGACCAGGCGGTTGAGGAAGTTCCCCGTGGCTGTGGACACTGTTGTGGAGAGAGGGCCGGGCACCCTGTCGGACATGGTGGGGGTGGCCGCAGTCTCCTCCACAGTCTCCTCTGCAGCCGGGGAAGCAGAGCTTCTTGGGACTGCAGGGGGCTGGGTCGGGACCTGCGGGGTTGAGGATGTTCCCTGAGGAATGCCCTTGGGAGGGGCAGAGACACTGGCGTCGAAGGCAGCCTGTGTGGGCTCCGTGGAGGCCTTGTCGACCCCAGAGCTGGCAGCGGGAGGCCCGCTGCTGCCAGGGGTGACAGTAAGCCAGGCGTCAGTGTGGCTGGGGCTGTCCCGCGGGTCACCGCGATGGTGCTGAGAAGGCACTGGGGCAGCCTGTGGGCTGCTGGGGGCACCTGAGGCTGCCGTGGTGTCCGGCATCCCTCCGTGGCTGGTGAAGGCAGACCGACCCCCCTGGTCTGCTTGGCCAGGTCCTGTCTTGTCCACTGTAGGCACCAGGGGGGTGGTAGAAGGTGCCCATGAGGTCCTGCTGGGCACCAGGGTTGCAGCCACTGTCTGGGGCTGCGGTGGGGAGTCGCCGCTCCCCAGTGGACTCCTGGAGGTGAGGGCAGAGGGGTGAGGCTCCACAGACCCTGTGAAGTTTCCTTTGTAGATCTGAAAGATTTTGCCCAGGGGCCGCTTCTGCCCCAGGTGCGTGGAACTCTGATTTCGGCCTCGCTGGCCTTCCTTTCTCCCAGTGTGGCCGCCGGATGCAGGCTGGACAGGGCGTGATGAACTACCAGCCCCCTTTCGGGATGAGCCTGGGGGCCTCGGGGGCCTGCGTGTGGCCCCCCGGCTAGGTGCTGAGGTGGGGTGACTGGTGGCTGCTGTTGGCTTCGCCAGTAGAAGAGTGGGCACAGCCTCCCCTGGGGGGCGGCTCTCAGAGTGGGGGGGTGTGGTTGCCATGGCCGCAGGAAGGGGCCCCATGGGCAGGGAGCCTTCGGAGTAGGGGGTGGTTGCTGCTGTCAGGGTGGAGGCGGCACTGGTAGGAGGGTGTCCGTCTGGGTGGGACGCTGTTGTCATAGCGGGAGCTGTAGCCTGTGAGGAGGCTCCATCCCGGTGGTGGGTCAGGGTCAATGTGGAAGAAGGGGCGGTCACCACGGATGACTGTCTGGTAGAGTCGAGGGGTGCTGTCACCATGGTGCCTGAGGGGAGGACCTGAAGAGATTCCCTGGGAGACGGTTCCTGGGTGGCAAATACTGGTGCTTCTGTCAATGCCAAGATCAGGAAGAAGCCTTGGGAGGGAGACAGAGAGAAGAGGTGAGATACCTGTGGCGGAGCTCAGAGTGCGTTCCTTACCTATGAACTGGGAGAGCTCCAAGGTCCCGAGGTCAGCATCAAAGGCACGCTGAGGTCTGTGGTGTTGCCTGACACTCACCAGACAGACCCCCGGGAAGTTGGGGCAGGTCTGTTAGGAAGATGCCACCAGCACATTAGACCGCCACCCAAGGGTGGCTTCTTGGCATAGACTGGGACTAAGTATGCGGAAGAAGGCTTATGGCCTCAGGGTGCCTGCTGCACCCCTGCAGCCAGGGAGTGACCACAGCCTGAACACAGGGCAGCCGGCAACTCTGTGGATCCAACGGGGAAGGCTAGATGGCAGAGCTGGCCAACACCTGTGCCTCTTCTGAATCTCGCACTGATGACCTAGACAAGGTCTAGTTGTACAGGCGTCTCACCATTCAGAGCCACTCACCAAACAATTAAGTGGGGTCTACTCTTTCTCTACCTTGGAGAACACAAAAATGAGCAAGGTAGTCTCTGGCCCTGGGTGAGCTCATACAAATCCTTAAGTAACCCTAAAAGAAGTTAGAGATGTCACAGTGCCATGCACAAGAGGCAGGGGTACAGAAGAGGGTGACCAGCTCCAGCGTCCATAAGGCACTAAGCTGAATCTGGAAGAGAAGTGTGTTCCAGAAAAGGTCCCTCGTTTCAGAGTTGTCATCAGTGTTAAGTGTGTTTCCAAAAGGCAGTCATGACACGGGGCGCAGGAGCGCCACTCTGGCTACCAGCTTTTCTCAGGAGGTGTCCCTCAAAGTCGGGAGGAGCATAGGTACTGCATGATGGCCAGTGTGTGCTTTCAGCTCACTGAGAAAATGCACAAGGTCAAAAATGTAGAAATTTGGAAACATTTCTAAATATGAGCAGATTTTGCACATCACAATGGCCTATTTAAAAAAAAATACTTCATGTAAACGTGAGATGGAGGGCGTACTTAGATTGCTGACTGTCAGAATGGCCACCCCACAAAACCTTCAGGTTGGGAAGAGCTGGTCACTGCTGCTGGGGGGCAGTCTGACAGTCCCTAAGGCCTGATTCTGACTGTGACCCATTTTTCTTGACATGAAACCTCAGGTCACTCTCATGCTCTCCCTTCAGTCCCACAGCCACCCAGACAGTGGGTAGAGGTCTATCGTATCTAGTGGCTCTCTTGGGCTTCTCTCCCCCACAAGATTCCAGGAGGATGAAGAGCCAAAGAAAGGGGGACAGGAGTCCAGGTTGGGCAGGGAAGCTGTTGCAGGGGGAGGGAGAGACCTTGGTGAGTTTCTGGAGGTGAAGTGGGGGCGGGGGGGGGGAGAGTTTCCTGGCATGTTTTTGGCAAAAGGCTCAGGATCACTTTCACACGCACCTCCAATTTAGGTGAGGACCATATCCCCCTTATCCTGCAGCTCTAAATTAATGGGTGAGAGGGGACGCAGGGGCTACAGATGCAACAGAGACTGGCATGGAGACTTCTAGGAGCAAGAATTTTCCCGAGCAACCCATTTTCCCCCTAAACTTTCATTTGTGATCTGGACCCAACCTCAACAGGCTTCTCTGCTTATTTAATCCTAAAACTATTTACTGAGCACCTACTCCTGCTCAGCCTCTCGTCCTCAAGTAATCCTCACAACTATTCAATGGTGGTAGGAGTTGAGGCTTAGAGAGATTAAGTGATATTTTCACTTAATGATCTGGTCAACCACCAGGTTGCAGGAAGAGAGGAAAAGGCCGGTAAATTGAACCCACAGAAGCAATGTGCTGGTCTATGCTGGCCAGGCAAAGTGACTCCCTGCAGCTTAACCCAGCACAATCTATTCTTAGAACTGGCAATTGTGCCCTCTAATATCACAATCCTGTTTGATTCTCAAGGGCTCTGGTTCAACAGAAACAGACTGGACTCTATTCTCCCAACATTCATCCACTGAAGTTGTAACTCCCAGGAACCCTGAATGTGACTTTTCTTGAGATGGGGTCTTTAAAAGGAGATGATCAAGGAAACAAGCCATCAGGATGGGTCCTAATCCAATCTGACCAGTATTTTTGTAAGACAGGAGAGTGGGACGTATACATGTGCACACACACACCGGGAATGCCTGTGCAAAAAGGCTGTGAGAAGACTTGGTGAGGGTGGTTCACTGCCAGTCAGGGAGAGGGTCTTATTGGATACCAACCCTGTCAGCATCTTCATCTTGTCTGTATAGCTTTCAACACTGTGAGCAAGCAAATTTCTGCTGCTGAAACTATCTGTCATGTACTTTGCTCTGGTGGTCCCAGCAGACTGAGAGAAGAGCCTTCTATTGGAGAGCACCAAAAGAACAGGCAGAGACCTGGCTTTGTGTGCACGTAGTTTATTTTGGGAAGTGATCTGATAGGACAGTCATGCATGGGGGGGTGGGTCCCCTTTCAGTCAGTGAAACAAGGAAAATCAATCCCAGGGCAAGTTATAAAATGATCATCATGGGTAACTCCAACTTACTGGGACTCCCTGAGGAACTGAGTAGACAGGACCTCAAGCTGATGTTGTGTAAGGGGCTCTAGTTACTCAGTAGTTCTCATCCCTGTGGGCCACCGACAGCTCCATGGAGCTACGTGTACGCTGTGTCTCATGTACACAGGAGGCCTGCAGGGCTGAGTCAGGAAGCCCTGGCAGAGGGACTGTCAGGCTAGGTCTGCACCCGCTGGTAGCTGCGGTGACAGCCGGAGTTCAAACTAAGGGCCCAGAGGCTTTCTGGGGTGGAGAACAGATGTGCTGACAGGGTCAGAGATCAAGAGTACAGTCTTTTGGTCAGTGCAAGGCTTGCAGAGACACCCTATCTTAATCCAGTGACAGGCTGGGGGAGGTGGGGAAAGGGGCCCTATGCCCCTAGAAAAGATCTGCAGTACTTCCGAGGCAGAGGGGTTAACACATCCTGGTCTTGAAAATACTCAGAGAAAGCAGTTCCCTTAACTCCCCCATGATGAGCATTCCAGGGGCTAACCATCCCCCCAGCTGGGAAGTATATGGCTGGCATCCTTCTTGCTGTAAGACTCACAGTGTGAGTAGGTATGTCTGTCCTTGTTGTTGGTTTAGATTTTTTTTAAATTTCCAATCTCCTCTGAAATGATTTTTCTCTCTAGCACAACGATTACATTACATCCTGACTTTTTACTTTTTAGACTTTAATCGTTGGTGCAATGACTGGACACTGCCATCTTGGTAACAAAGGTCTTTACCTGGAGATGACATTTCACTGTCACCGTGGAAGGAACCCTAGAATAACTTAAGCTAAAACTCTCATTTCACAGTGGCGGCAATGGAAGGAGTTACTTACCCAGGAATGCACTGCTTGTTGGGGACAGTCTGGAACACTGCTATTTTTTCAGAGCAACTTCATTTCTTAGCATAAAAATTGCTATAATATTGCACTGTCTAAATACCTCCTTCAACCTGCAAGTCACCTTCAATATGGAAATCGGACAGCAGTGCCTCTTCTTATTGGCACCACAGGTTAACTACTGAATGGAACTCATACACAATCACAAAGTTGTGGAAGGACTTCAGCCCAGGGCTTCCCTAACAGATGCAAATTTTCATTCAAGGCCCTTTGTGCTGGCCTACAAGCTCCCCTCCCCACAATCTGGGGCTACCGCCTCTTTACATATCATCTGCATAGATTTGCATAATGCACTCTGGAGGCTCTAATTCCAAATATATATAAGAGACTAAAACTAAAATCTAACTTGATGTGCTTTCAATGTGTAATTGATTTTAAAACTTGTTCAAATAAGGACAAATGTAGGGAGTGAAAACTTATAAATTTATGGGTGCCCAGATGTGGCAGGAAGGCCTCCTCCTACCTGGAATTCCAATACACTCATGATCCCAGGCCCCCTGGGGAGGAAAGGCAGCCTTCCTTCTGTTTATTTGGTTGGCTGCCCAAGGAACATATTGGGCATGATATCTGCATGGCCAAAGCCAAGCAGGGACTTGGTAAAGGAAAAATGGTTACTACATAGTTTCTTGAATCATGAACTCAAAGCTAAGCTTGTACGTACACCTTTAATCCTAATGACCAGATAAGGCAGGTACCATTAATAGCTTATGATCATTAATTGCAGATGAGGAAATGAAGCACAAGGAGGTACAGGAACACACCTACTTTCACAGAGCTTGGGAAAAGAACTTTCATTTTGAACCTGGCAACTCGACACCACGTTCACTTAGAGTTTTCTTTGCTCTGCTTACACCTTTCCTCTCTGAAGCTGCTCTGTACATTCAAACCAATGACCTATAAGCTTTTGGGAGTGGATTTTCTATTTATTCTATTTATTTCTATTAGATTTTCTTCTTACCTGTTTTCTTCTATGTGACCCACTGGTGTTCTCTTAGCAATCTAACTATTTAGCAAGTAACTGGGGAACTTATAGTAGTATAGTAAAAGTACTGGAAATATCTGCATTCATCTCTTCCTTTTCCCAATACTTGCATCTCAGGCACATCTCAGATCATTTTATGATTTTTCTTTTAAAAGAGTTGGTGCACACACAAGATTTATTTATTGTAAGTATAAATATTCCCTTACATATGCAAACAGAATTCTGGACCATTTTTCCTTGTAATTTTTAATATCTTCTAAGTAGAACTTCCCTCCCTCTTTTACTGCCAGATACTTCTTCTATTGCTGCTAAACCCTTGTGACAGAATCCCAGGAGTCTGAGAAAGCGTTTAAGCCATCCCCCCTCGTTAAGCAAGATGGCAGCTTGGCCATCCCAGGTGCTTGGTGTGGCCATTTAAAATTGTGTCTGCAAGTTCACTGATGCTCTTTCTGCCAAGAAGTGGAATCCATTTCCCTTTATTAAGCATAGAAGAGGCAGAAATGACACCACATGACTTCATAAGGCCAGGGTAGAAAAGGTCAGGCAACTTTCAAGCATTTCTCTTGTAGGAAGTCCAGTGGCCTGGAGGTTACCAGAGACCACGGAGGTCACAGAA